CGCAAGTGATCGGCCGACACCCGCGCGTCCTCGAGCACGATGCCGCTCGACGGCCGGCGTCCGACGGTCAAGGACGCGTCGCAACGTAGGGAGTGCACGCTCTCCTTTCCCGGCAAATAGACGGTAAGCGTGTGTCGCTCGAGCGGGTCCATGGCCAAATAGGAAGGGGCAACCAGTACTCGAGTATGTGGTGTGAACCCCGATTTGGTGCGGCGGCGCAGAGTGCGCCGAAGAGGGCGCAGAAATCCGCGCACATTTGCGCCGGTGCTGTCCACTCGCGAGCGATTTTCCCTTTTTCTCCTTCTTCCTCCCTTGTCCGTCCGACCAGTTGATCCCAGTCTTGGGTGCAGCGTGGTTGTAGGAGAGTCCTGCAGCCGGCCCGCGCGAGTGTCGCGTGGGCCCGTCGAGTATGAGCAACTGCACGATCTCCAGGCGGGGGAGGCGGTCAGCGCCGCCTCCCTGCCGGTGCGGGCCGTCAGCGTATTGAGAAGCTCCATCGCGCGCACGCCATTATTCCCAGCTCGTTGGGCGAGGGACTGTTTGAGCTCGCTATCTCCGATGGCGGCACAAATATACTTCAGTCCTTCTTGGAGGCTCGACTTGTGCGCCTCGAGCTCCTTTGCGCCCCTAGGCGTCGGTGGCGCAGGCCCGAGGGTATATTCAGAGATACCCTCTACATTAGCCCACGCTGTGAAGCGCGCCAACCATTCGGCCATAAGCTGGGGCGTGATATTCTCCCCCTCGAGCCTTGGGATCCCGTCGTCGTACGTGCGGGTCACTCGAGCCGAGAGGGATGTGCGGGCGGCCCTGCCCTCGTCAGCCCTAGGTTCATTGCCAAGGGCGGAGGTGATGCTAGAGGTTATGCTCTGGGCTATGGCCCGATTGCTCTCCGTCATGCTACGGATGAGCTGGCCCATGTCGGCAAAGGTGGGTTGACCTCCGTCCTGCAGGCCTCCACGCCGAGCGTCGGGCTGGTCGCCAGACGGCTGATTGCCGCGCCTCTCGCCGGCGCTGGCACCTTCGCCTTGGGCGCGCCCCTGTGGTGCACCCCCTTGCGTGGACGGGGGCCCTTGTCCGAGCTCCTGTGGCGCACTTCCTCGCGTGGACGGGGGTCGATCGCCATCACCACGTGGCGGGTCACTCTCACTCGTACCGGCGGCGGGAGGTGAGCCCTCGGCGGGCTGGTTGAGGTCCAACGCGCCTTCTGCTGCCGTGTCGGCGGGCGCACCGCCTGTCCCGAGTGCCCCCTCGCCAGGTTCGGCCGCTTCATCCGACGTCGCAGTAGCAAGCTGTCGGATGAGTCCCGGTGCACCTTGCTGCTGCTCGCCACTGGCGCCATCGGGGGGCTCGTCGCCGTCGTTCGCGCGTGACGCCGCCCTAGTGGTCATTGTGTTACCCCAGAGGGCATGGCAGAGCGCATTCCATGCTCGGTGGCTGAGCGCCCAAAGATAGTAGTAGAGCGTCCCAGTCGGCTCGGCACTGAGTGCCGTCGGGGCGCCGTGTGGCAGAGGGCCGTGTGACGGAGAGGTGGGCGAGCGATTCATGCCACGCGGCCGAGTAGGCGGGCTAGGGTACGCCTCTCCTTCTACGCGCCACACCCCATAATCGGGGCCCTTG